AAAAAATAATAATTTTAAATAATTAATTTGATACTAATATAAATATATTTTTGTTAAAATTGTATGATATCTTCAAACTTATATTTTATTCAAAAATAAAAACATCATTGTTTTTTTTAAAATCATATAAGACCATACTATAACAAATAAAGAATAAAATAAAATATTAAAATCAAGATGTGTCTCATTGAATTGTATAAATATATATATATATATATATATATATTTATTTATTTATTTGTGTGAGAGAGAGAATACAATTAATAATTGAATAAGTTTCCTAAAATATTTATATGTACATTACACACATGACACATGTGAATAAGATTTTTTAATCAGAGATACAAATTTTTTAAGGTCTGTCTTCGCATATAATAATATTAATGGGGTTTAGAAAATGAATAAAATATTCACAACTGAAAATATAATATTGTGCTGATTAAATATATTTTTATATAAAAAAGCAGGTCAAACTAAAAACGCTAGGAACGATCATGAACCGTTGGATTTGTAAAATGGATGGATTTGATTGAAGGATCAGATTCTTTTGTAGCAATAATTTGATGAATTGGTTGCAAATCATGACCAAATCATCACAGAAGAATTTTTCTACCAAATAATTAATACAAATTTTTATTTTTTTTTCAAATTTGATTTGTGTACGTTGTCGTCGTCGTCGTTGAAGAAACGTATAAACAATTTTAAATTGCTTTTCATTATTAATACTTTGTGGATTTAAATAAAACATATATCAATAAACAATAAAAGTCAGATGTTGAGTTGATAATGTTTCGTCATCGTATTTTAGACGGTTTTTGATATTTTTATAGGGTCGTCCCTTAGCATGTTAAATGTGAGATTTTGAACAGGGTCTCTAAAATTTTGGGGCCCAAATTTACATGTGTTTAGGTCTTTTTATCGACCTATGTAAAACTATAACCGAAATTATTTAGGTTCAAACCATTACTTATTTGGTTTTAGGCTCAAATCAGTAATGATTTAGGTTTAGTTTCAGATTGTTAATCGTTTTAGGTTTAACCCATTTTATTCTTAACATATATCATTTGTCATCTCATTTATGCAATGTAATCAAAAGTTTTGGATATAGCATAGCATCCAAAAAGGTTGGAACGTCCCTGTATTTTTACAACTCAATCCAATTATTATAGTTTAGAAAATCTCAACACAACTCAACTCATTCAAAAGTATAACCTAACCTAACCTAACATTTGCGGGTTAGGTGGGTTGAGTTGGCTTGACGGATTAGTAATACATATATTTCATATGTTCATCTATGCAAAGAAAACAGAAATTTATAAGAAGAAAGAAATCAACTTCTGAATATTTGTAATTCCAACTTTTAAGAGCATCTATACAAGAGAGAATCATATACTAAAGTGCATATCGATCATTGACATCATACAATTGCATGCATGATCACGATATTTATCTTTTCCCCAAAAGAAATCAAGTAGATATCCCAACTCCAACAGCCTCCGCAAGATTGCTAGTCGTATATCCCGTATGGGTAAAAGGAATTAAATCAATAACAAGACATGGTCCATCGAAGGTTCTTTCGAAGGTGTCTAGCAGCAGCAACGTCCAACGGTGTTCGACGGCGTCCAACAACGCTCGATCTAGTCGTTTCAGTGTATCGTGCTAAGGGAATAAAGGGGCAGAACAGAATTGAGGCGCATCGGTGGTCTACTAAATAGCTCGTTGAACGCCCGACCTAGTAGTATTAATTTTGGGCTTTGAGTTGTAAATTGGACTAACTTATGTGTATATTCGTTGAGTTGTAAATTATAACGGATGTAAATATAAATATAATTTTATCGAAATAATATACATTCATGGCAGGTTGGTGGTTTGGTTGGGTTGAGTTAAGCTAACCTATTTTCAACCTTCCTAAGTAACTGTTTGGCGTATAGGATTTAACTGGGTTGTTAGCAGGTTGGGTTAAGCAGGTGTCACAGATTGACGGTTTTTTGTACACCCATAGATTTTAGTATATTAATATAATAACATTGTGTTTTCGAATTTAGGGAGAAAAGAAAAAGAAATGGATGAAAAGAAAAGAAGAAGTAATTCTTTTATTTTTATTTTTTGAAAAAGAATTAAAGATATCGTTTTTACAAATATACCCTTAAAAAATATATCATGTATAATAGAAGGATGGGTGATTTTATAAATTCTTTAAAGGGTTTTAATTTAAATTTTTTATTTTAAATAATCTGTTGAAAATGTTTTAAAATCTTAAAATACGATAATTATCTCACAACACTGATTAAATGATATCATAACATTTAAAAAAAATGGACGAATATATTAAGAAAAAAAAAAGTAAAATTACCTTTAAAATAATAATATG